GGAGAAGTTTGACCACCTGGAGGAGCACCTGGAGAAGTTTGTGGAGAACATCCGGCAGCTCGGCATCATCGTCAGCGACTTCCAGCCCAGCAGCCAGGCCGGGCTCAACCAGAAGCTGTGGGTAGCGGCCGAGTCCGCCCGCGTCTTCCCGGGGCCTGCGGGGCAGCGTCTGCTGCGGAGCGGGGATGGGGAGCCGGGGCCGGATGGGGAGCCGGGATTCCGGCCGAGGGCCGCTGGCTCTCCCCGCGCTGCTCGGGGCCCAGTCCCTCCTGGTGCCTCCGGCTCTAGGCTGTGCGCAGAGGGGGCTCGCCGCTGCCGCCTGTTGCCGACCCGCCTCCCCGCTTTGCCTTGCTGGGACCTTTGCTCGAGGGCCCCTTTGGAGACTCTATCAGAGCCAGATAATAGTTTCCGTTTCTGCGGCCGTCGGAGGGAGACATGCTTCATAATCTTAAGTCTTTCCCCGCCCTTGTATGACTCCCTCCCAGCGTTTCTCTTGAGCCCTTCCGGGGAGTTGAGTCCCTGTCCGTGGAGGGGAGGCGGCCTTCACCCGGAGGGCGGAAAAATGGGCCCCGGGAAGGCCAAGGCTCAGAAACCACCTGCTGCCGAGGCCTGAAGGTGGAGGAATCGATAGTGGTGCGTGATGGTGGTGGTGAGAAACGCCACACATCTGTTAATTTTTTTTTGGCAACAGCATTGTGCTGGCCGTGCCGCTAGGCCCTGGGTTGAACAGAAGGCAAACAGGAATAGAATGCTCTGGAGAAGGGCTCCCAGCTTTATGGAGGACACAGACATAAAAACATATTCACAACCCTGCCTTACATACCCAGTGCTGTGGGGCTTGCCAGGTGATCTAGGAAGGCTCCCGAGGGGAAGGGCGCTGAAATTAAACCAGGCAGCCATGGCTTTCTTCCTCCTAGAGTTTGAGGTTGGATTCTTGAGCTGGATTCTGCTGCCCCATGTGTTGTCTGCAACTGCCCGCAAACTCACGTCCACCTCGGTGATTGTTTTTGAGAGAAAGGTCATATTTTTCATCATATTCTCAAAGGTTCCTGCCCTTACACCTATTAGTTCCTGGTCCTCCCCGCCCCCTCCCCCGAACCATATTGGTAATTCCTTATTTAAAAAGAAAATCAAGAGATATTTGAGCATATTCTGTAACTCCAAAGCTTTCCTAGGAATTCTCGAACAAAGAGCTGTGAGCCGCATGTAACCCGTGCTTGTATGAGGAACACTCGTGTGGAGGCCTGGTTGGCCAGGCGTGGGTGTTTTACAGTGCCATCGTCTGAATTAACCTAATCTCCTGGTTTTGCTTTTTCCCCCAGGAATTTTATTGTTACTGGCTTACAGGATATTGATAAGTGCAGACAGCAACTCCATGATATTACTGTGCCTTTAGAAGTTTTTGAGTAAGTACTGTTCTTGATATTGTAATTCTTGTTTAGTTTTGCTATAATGACTTCCTCAACCTCCAGTATTTTAGGGTCTGCTACATGGCGGACACAGTCTGGGTGCTGGAGAGATGCCAGGGAAGAAAATAGACAAAAATATCTTCCCTCATAGAGCTTATGTTCTGTAGGGATTAAACAGTTAAAAAAAAACTCTCCGTGTTGTTGAAAAAGAGTTAGACATAAAAAAAGACTTACTAAATTTGTGACGGACATCATAGGCTCTCAGAGTCCTGCCTAGGCTGATTCTCTGGGCCGGGCGGCCTCTCTCTCCTCTCCCAGAGCTGACTGGGAATGGCAGGAGTATTCTGGGGCTTTTTGCAGTAAAACTGCAAATGTAAATCACTAGATTTCCTTGAACAAGAGGGGAAAATGTACCTTTTTACATCCTGAAAAGTCAGAGATAAAAGTTGTAGTCACAACACAGTGCGCAGCCATCCACCAAGCCAGGACACACAGGCTGCAATTTCCACGGTCCAGGCTCCGTCCTCACCTGCTGGCCAAGGTGTCGGTGTTTTCAGGTGGGAGTGAAGGCCTTGTGTGTGTTACAGCTCTAAACTCCGGCCCATGAAGTGCGGGAGGGTGGAGACTAACTTCCCTTCCTTGAAGTGTCCTTATTAGAGCTGTTCTGGTCATGAGTGTGTGGGATGTTTGACAGACGCCAGGGAACTACTCCCATCGTCTGAAGAGGCGTGAAGGGGAAGGATAGGAAAGACAGCTTAAAGGGAGCGGGGAAGAGGCCTCAGCTCGCGGGCTGCAGGGACAGCCTAGGCTCACCTGGAGAGTTGGGATGAGGCAGCCTGTGAGTGTTGACACACAGCAGGTGTGAACTGTCAGTCATCTGTGCCTGATGGAGGAGGGTTCCCCGGTCCACTTGCAGACACTCCGACTGTGTTCGTAGCAAAGATAACAATAAAACTTTGGCCCTTTAGTCCGGTACTTTTGGGTTGGTGAGGTGGGATTCTGGTCTCAAGGGCCCAATCCAAATGGTATCACTGTGGAAGCAGTTTATTTAGGACACTTGGACCTGTCAGATTTTTTTTTCCAAAAATGGATGGATTTTGTTTAGAATTTACCATAATTTTGCTTCTTTCATTCCATCATTTCAAACACATTTCAGTAAAGTGAAATTTCTAGAACTTTTGATTTATCAGTATTTTGCTATCTGTCATGATTAAAGACCAGTTTTTATGCCATTAACAGTGACTTAACAGTGTCTTTAATTGGAAGTGATAATTTTTGTTAACTGAAGCATAAAAATGCATAAATCAGACTTTAGTGGTGGTTTTTTTTTTGTAACAAATAATTCAGTTTAGCTTAATGATATGAAGGTCTTCAGGGTGCAGAAGTGGCAAAATGTGGATATTCACCTGGGCGGTATTCGTAAATGAAATCACTGGGACAATGGATGTTTTGGGGACAAGTGTCGGAAATTTCAAGAAACAGTTTTATACTGCTAAGAAATTATTGGAGAGGAGCTCTTTCTGTTAGATTTAAGCTACTGAGGTGTATCTAGGTATATATATCTACTTAGGTATATCTAGTACGTGGGCCCTCTCTCCCCCCAGTTTGTAAACTAATCTTGGGGCTGGCAGGGCAGGGCTCTCCCCTCCCTTGCCCAGCATCCCCGAGGCTCCTCGGCAGAGGCTGGGGTGGACCTGGAGTGGAGGCTGCACCTGGGGGCTCCCCGTGCCATGCAGGCCTGAAGCTCTGGCCCTCCCCTGGTTCTCTGTCGTGAAGAGCTGCCTGACCTTGGGGTTGTTGTGAGGATTAAAGTCGTGGCCGTGAGGCCTTTGAAAAACACAGATGCTAAAGCTGAAGTGGTGTGACTGTGAGGCTTGCTTGGTTTAGAAGTCATCACTACTTGATTTCATGAGTTATTCATGCAACTAGAAGTTCTGTGAGAGCAAATCACCTGTGCTTGTATAAATGAAGGAATCTGAGTCACCTGCTTCCTGGACACAGTTCCCCCTGAACAGGGCCGTGCGAAGTTGTGTACAGCTCACAGAAAACTCTGAGAGCAGGTGTCAGCCGACAGAGTGTTAATTGAGATATTTCACATTTCCAGATACATAGACCAAGGTCGAAACCCCGAACTCTACACCAAAGAGTGCCTGGAGCGGGCTCTGGCTAAAAATGAGCAAGTTAAAGGCAAGATTGACACAATGAAGGTAAAGTTCTTGTGAACAGACGATGCCATCAGAACATCAGGATGTGCTTTTAAAGTAGACTTGGCTGATACACTATGTAAAGCATCAGCTATTTGACACCGTTACGCAGTTGAGATTTCTGAGCTGTGTGATAAGTAGTGAATAAAGTCAAACGTCAGCGCACCCTGTGGCGGCCTTGCCTGTCGGCAGGTCCGGGTTGATCTTTGCGATGCTGGTTGTCACTGGCTCCCTGTGCTTGTGTTCATTGTTAAGAATGGAACGTCTCCAGTTTGCATGCTGGTGCTGTGAGTCCCTCACTTGGGCCTTTTCCTGGAATTGTGGGTCATTGGTTCAGAGGATTGTAAACCCTTGCTCGCTCTCTCTCTGGTGGTCGTCTTCGGCTTCTGACTCCAAGCCCCTCCGCGCCACATCCCCCAGGCTCCACAGAGACTTTCCTCTCTGTGTCTCTTGGCTTGGATGGGATCTAGCAAACTCTGTGTCTTGCACGTGATACGTGTAGTTTTTTTATTACTGAAATTGACTCACGTGTGGTTCGGATTGGGTGGGTGTGGGTTTTCCTTTAGGTGGGTGGTGCCTTCCCTTTCTGTTGTCCTCCTGCAGCCAGCCCTCCTGCCGCCCCACCTGCTCCTTGCTCCGGTTTGCATTTCTGGAACCCCCGGCCCCACTCCTGCCTGTCCACTCCTGTGCTGTCTCCTCTGCCAGAGCCCTCCCACACGCTCTGTCCTTTGGGGTCCCTGTCTCACCTCCTCAGAGAGGTCTTTGGACCAGCCTTCTGCCCTCCTCTCTCTCTCTCTGTTCTGTGTCTGCCCATCCGGAGGTCCAGGGCGTTGTGTTCCTGCTGCCGCCCAGGTGCACGGTGTGCCTCGTCAGTGTCTGGTGTGCACAGGGACGGCCACAGAGGGTGAGCTTGAGGAGCCAGCAGTGCGGCCGTGTCAGGACAGCTAAGACAAGCCTTTCCCATGCTGCCTGGGCAGAGTTGTCAGTGTGGCACCCGCAGCCTCATTTCTGCCGTGTCAGCTTGGGACTGAGTCACTCTTGAACCGAGCATCACCCTCGGGACATAATACAGCGTTAGTCGAGAGCAAAGTGTGAGCATTTGGCTGTTGTGTGAGTGAGCTGTCTCCTGTATCACCCAGCAGGTCCCCCTGTGTGGACCGGGTCACGGCCCATGGGTGACCTCGTCCCAGTTTCTGTGCTGCACTCCTGTTCACCTCCTGCCCTTGAGGTTGCCCACTGGCGGCCACACTAGTGACCCTGCCCCTTGCCTTCCATTTGCTTCTGTTTCTGTTGCCTCTTGGTATCATTTCCTCTCACCTGAGACTGGAAGAGTCCCATGTTGCAGGATGTGTGCCCGGTGGGCTGTGCGTTTAAACGTCCCCGCGTTCTGTCGTCACCGGTGTCTGGAGCGTTGGTGTGCAGCCACCCGAGGGGTGTTACCCACTGAGGTGGATGCGATATCTTTGTGTCCGTTGTGCTTCTGTTGTGTACAGCTGATGAGAAGAGGTTTTGAGATGCTGGCAGAAATTTAGCTGCTTTGGAGGTTGGATTAAAACAAACATTACGCTGGTAAGTAGGATCATGGAGCCATGGCATTTGGAGAAGACAGGTTGCCAGGTGCTCTGAGAGCTTTGATGGAGCTGTTTGCACACAGTGAGTTTGATGTGGTTCAAGTTAATAATTGCTTAATAAAATATTACATAGAGACTCCTGTTAACGTGTGCTGGGTGCCAGACTCAGTTCCTCCTGTGTGGCTGGCTGCTTACGGAGGGCTTTTTGTTGTTTGAAGCAGGAAGGAAGGGGTCGTGTTTGAACATACAGCCTGCTGTGGTTTGGCAAGTGAGGCGTCCACGGAGATGAGCAGAGAGCACCGAGGGAGCGTGATTTCTGTCCCTTTGAGTTTGAGGCTCTGTGGGGCCTGGTCTTTAACTTGGGTGATGGGTCACAAACACGGTTTTGATGGTGTATCTTTTTCCTCTTAGAAATTTAAAAGCCTGTTGATTCAAGAACTTTCTAAAGTATTTCCTGAAGACATGGCTAAGTACCGAAGCATCCGAGGGGAGGACCACCCCCCTTCCTAACTTCATCCTCTCTGTCAGAAGACCCTCCTAGTCCTGCAGGAATGTCCGTGACCTCTAGGCAGCCTGGGACTGAGCGGCATCGATGCTGTTTCCTGGGTCCAGCCTCCAGCTACCTTGTCTGTCCCTGTCATTCATTGGCTTCTGGGGATGGCGTGGCCTGGAGGGCGTGTGGGGCGGGGCCTCCAGCTGCCCCCTCCCCCTGACATGCTCTGTTTGGTCCTCAAGCTCTCAGATGGCTGGTGACAGCACATCTTTTGAGTGCAATGTGTTTGCTTCTCCACCACCAGATGTCTTGGAAACATTAAATACGATAGGGAAATTGAAAGTTTTTAAAATCCTACCTAATAGTTTTATGTACTCTTTCTGTTCTTTTTTTTGATAGTGTCAAAGAGAGCTAAAAAAAAAAAGGAAAATTGGTTTAAAATGAGAAGTACTTTAAATTGGTTTAGAATTTTATATTTTCAAGTATTGTGCGTAAAGAATGTTTTCAATGTAACAGCGTTTACATGGATTTCAGTTAGACCTACGAATATAATAAAGGCTTTAAGTGTTTCTGTAACTTGTTCTATGTAATCATTTCTGTAACATTTTTATAGTTTAGTACCGTGTATCTCATAAACAGTTATTACTTCCCCAAAGTGTGGGGAATATTCGGAAAATTTCTTCTTCAGGCACTTAGGCAGGAAAAGCTAAAGCGCAGTGCAG